TATATATATATATATAAAATGTGTTTGTTGGCTCATCCATATTGTCTAATTTTATGACTTTAGAGAAAATGCTCTGAGCTAACTATTTACAAATTTCTTATATACCATTTTTTTAAGGTAAAAATATGTAGTAACAATAATGGTACTTAAAGTCAGTATTTGATATTTAATTCATTATATGTCTTCATCTCAAGTTGGTATAGCACAAATTCTAAAACTTCTCTTTATAAAACCTAGATGTGACTGTATTTTTTTTTTTAGAAAAAATTATCTAATTTTTTTTTTCTTGGGATGCTTTCCAGCTCCCATCCACCCTATTTTGAAAAGACATAGACCACTGTTCTGACTATCATCACTATTTAGAAAGCAGAGTTTCTCTACAGTGAATAGCCGTTACAGAATCTCTTGTAGCTGCTTGGAGAGCAGTCTTTCTGTGTTGATGCAAACAGAAAAGGGTAAAAGTGACTCTTCAGTCTCTCATGCCTCTTCTTTCTAAGGCTGTTGCAAGTTGTGATGTATTCAAACCTGTGTCAGAGCAAGACAGAGTCCTTCGTGTGCTCTGGCTAGCTTTATTCATCGGTGTTTTGTGAACGCAGCTAGACAAGCTGTGTTAGCATGTATTCAGATAATTAAAAGTTGCCTTTTGTTTAATGAGAAACTGGTACAATGTATATCTACCGAAATATCAAGCAAGATTTGTAAAGAGAGTGAATGCCTTTATATCTGCTCATACAAGTTAGTAAGTAGACAGCTTTCAACTGGGAAAAAAAAAAATCTTTTATCATTTATGAAGCCTCAAGAGAAACATCATATTTTTGCAATATTTTATCGTTATCTAAGCACTAGCAAGATAGTTGCTTGAGATATCTTTAAATTTTTTGTAGTAATTTAATTTCATTAACTAACTTCCTCTTTGATAAGTGATCTAATGTTTTAGCCTTTATGGTTCTTTCCTCTCTCCCTGTTTCTGTTCTTCCCTTACTTGTGCAGCCATTGTCCTGAGCCTGAGGATTATAGTATTCCTTCAGATGATTGGTAAGCTCTAAAAATCATTCAGTGTGTGGTGTTTGTTAAAGATCCAAGTTTAAAACTAGAGAATGAGACTTTTAGAGACAGAGCTAAGTGTGAAATGTTTTACTCAAAAGTTATTTTAGCTTCGAATTGATGTAGACCAATGGGTCTTACACAAAGTTATGCCATCAGAATTCTACATCATTAGGTTGTGTGCTCTGGAATTGAATTGCTAATAGGTCACTGAGATGTAGTACAATTATTCTACAGTCAATCGTGTAAAATTGAGAATTGCTTATTGGAGGGAAAGCTTTGTCATTTATTACGGTTACTTTGATCACACTACTGCAACTTAGTAATAGATAAGTAATAATCTCTAGCATGTTTTAAAAAAGGTTGTATTTGAGAGTGAAAAATATGTACTAAGTTAATATTGTTAATATAGCTTTAGAATATTAGCACTACCTAGATCTTCACTGAAAGTGTAATTAAGGCACCCAAATTTGTCCTGTGCACATCAGTCTTTATAAGCACGTCTGAAATAAACTGATGCCTGAACAGTAGTTAAAAAAACCCCAAACCTTCCCTTTTGTAAGTGGAGAATATCTTGTAAATGCTTATGAAGTAAATACTCAAGAAGAAAAAAATTTCTCTGTAAAATTGTTGTGATTAGTAGAATTTATTTATGACAGTAACATTTCTAGTCCTAAAATGACTGACGTACTGAATTCCGACTCTTTTAAATCTTTATTTTTCTGTATTAGAAAGAATTGTTTTCCAGTTTGACATAATATACCTGCAATTATTTTTCCTTTTTCTTTTAGCACTGAGAATCTGGAAAATATCTTGAAGTCTTTATGTCAAAAAGCTTTAAGTAAACCAGGTTTAAACGTTAGACTCTAAACAAATTTAATGTATCTGAATTTGTTAACATTTGGCACTTGAAGATCTATTAGCATTGCATTCAAAAAAAAAAATCTTGGTAAATGAGGATGCTTTGAATTTCTCACTTTAACAGTAGGTTTTTAGAAAAAGTAGTCCCTGAGTGGTTATATAGAACAGGTATTGGTATTTTATATTCCTTCATGGTATTGCAGGACTAAAACAGCTCATTTATGGTTTTCGTAGAGAATCTTTAGACTGCCTTTGTATATGGCTTATCCTTCAACTTAAATCACCAAATTTTTTGCTCTCTTCTAAGATCGTTAGCCAAGGCAAGTTCCGAAGTAAATAAAAAAAAATACTTGCCTCCAACTTGGTTCACTTTTCAGCACTGTTTTGTTTCACTGAGATTTCAGACTCAGATAGTCTTAATACTCAACAGTCACATGCAGTAACAAACCTTCCTAGAAGTATCCACGTTTTTGAGCTCTCAGCTTCAGCCAGAGGATTTGTACAATTTGAGAGATGTTAGTGAATGACTTTATTTCTCCAGAACTGTCTCCACCTTGCATCTGTTCACTCCCTTCATACTTCACCGTTGTTGCTGTATCTTCTTTCTCCATCAGTTTGCTCAGTTCCTTTTTGGTTATGAGTGGTAGAAAACAAACCCTCTCCATGCTGACTTCCCTGACGTCTGAACTCAGTTTCAGATACTGGATTTTTTTTCTGCAAACTTTTGCAAACCTATTCCAAAACTTCTGACTTCTCAAAGAAGGCATATCTTGTTCTGCATCTCTTCAATAATCTCATTCTAGAGATCAGAAGACAAGAAGCCACAGTCTTACATTGTAGATTTATTTTTACTTCAGCCTGCATTACCTGAAGTCAGCAGAGAAACTTCCTTGGATTTAAGTGTATTTATATAAATCAAGGTTTCTTAAAATTAGATAAACTTTGGAGATGTAAACAAAATACTTTTTTGTTTTCTCACACTATATGTTTGCAGCCTTTATTATAACAGCTACACACCAAAATTTGTGTTGATCTTACCTCTGTGGTGTGGATGATTTGTATATGATTTGTTAAGAATATGCTAATGATTACTTTTTTTTTTTTTAATTATTTCTAGGCAGGGCTTACAAAATGGAGAAGAAAAAATATTTAGTGACTTATCATTACTGGAGAATCTTCAAAACAATCATGTAAGTTATATAGAAACAATTACCGTTGTTTTGTGAAATCAAAACATTGCTTTCAGCAAGTCAAAAGATTATGTCATTTGAAGGAAAGTAAATAAATTACATATTTACACAAAATCAGCAGGCCCTTGTGAGTACGTTCACAATTGCTTCTTGCTGAAACTTGTTAATAGATCCAGCCCTTTTTTTTATTTCTTTTTTTTTTAAATTACATGATTCAGATATTATGAGTCTGAAATAAAATAATAGTCTTATGTTCTTCATTCTGTGGTTGTTTTAAGATTAGTTAATCTGTTCATGTGATGTCATGACATACATCACAGCTTTCAGGATCAGTCGCGTTAGTTTACTGTCCTGATATGGTTTAGCATTTCTGCACCCAGGCTTAGACAAGAGTCGGAAGTTAACCACATACATTGGTTTTGTGTATTTGCTTCCATGAGATTCGATCATCTGTTCACATGATGAAACAAAACAGGCATTCTAGAGGCTGGTATTCACCCCCAAAGAGAGAATACATTTCACAAAGTTAATAGCTTAGTTTATGATTTGACTAAGAAACAGTACTGTCGTTACCACTTTTTCGTTTGTCATTTATACAAGAGATGTTTTTAGTTGTCATAACCAAGAACAGCTATTTTAAATGGCAAGTGATTATTCTCCTTTTGAAGAGTGTAAATAAATTACTCTTTCCTTAAGTTTTGTTGTCCCGTGATGATAATTTCATGGTAACTGGCAGAGAGCAAAGCATAAAGTTAAAAATTCAGACACACATTCAAAGAGAGGTTTTACAACTATATGTTAAATATTTTCTGAAGTGTTTTGTAAAAGGGTCTGCAATTCAGCCTTCTGAATGCATCTTAGAGGAGCTGGGGGCCCTCAGTAGAAGAGGACAGGATGCTATTCCCATTAGTGTTTCTGCAATATGGAATTAAGTTAGATTTTCAGAGATTATTGTATTTTATAGAGTAAATGTAATGTTATCTTTACTATTGACAGTCTGCTCTTAATCTGAAATACTACAAATACGCTACAAAAAACCTCATTTGAGGTGGCAGCTGATATGAGCTTATTTATGGGGAATGCTGGGGTTTCTCTTGAACAACTATTCAGGAGTAGTTTCATTCATTTTGCACATTTCAACTGTACTAGTAAGGTTTTTAGCTGTGTTTGTCAAAAACAATCAACTGTTTTGCTTATATACATTTTCTTCCCCTCCTTCTGGCTAAATAATTTTAAAATTATTTCAGCTTTGTAGGCTCAGAAGTGCCTAAGACATTAATCCAAGTGTTTTCCTTTCAAAGATATCTGCCTGAACTTGCAACATTGTCCACATGACTTTTGCGTATGGTTGCTACATATTTCTAAAGATTCTTAAAAAATGTTTTCAAATACAGTATTAAATAAAAGTAATGTAAAAGGGAATAATTTAAGTAAAAAAAGACAGCATCCAAAGAGACTTCAGTGAATAAAATTTTTTCCATACAGCATTCAGACTTATCTTCCCTATAAAATGTTTATTTGTTTCTGGTTATCTCCTTTTGATTGTTATGATAGCAAATGCCACTAAATTCTGTCTTTGTCGCCAGTGTCAAAGTACAGCAGCAAAAAGTTACTCTGCATGCTGAAATTGGTATATGGAGAATGTCTGGTTTGTTCTTGATAGTTCTTAAAGGTGAGAGGAAAAGTCTTAGTTGATTTTTTCTTTACTATTATTCTTCTGTATCTCATTACATTTCAGTTAATTATACTTAAATGAATAATCACACTGGCTTTTTTTTTTTTTTTAGCCAACTGCACCTGTAATATGTGAGTTTTTGACAATGATGGCAGTGTGTCATACAGCAGTTCCAGAAAGAGAGGGTGATAAAATTATATATCAAGCAGCATCTCCAGGTGAGACTTAAATAATTGAGTGAATATATTTAAGTATTCTATCAACTCAAAATTCAAATTTAATTCAAAATCTGTTGTTTTTCAAAGTATCTTCCAAAATTAAAAAATTAAACATATCCTTCAAAAAAAGAATTGGTGTCAGCTAAGATCACTTATGTCGAAAAAGGGTGTAGAATTTTCTAATTCGCTTTAGAAAATACATATGGACATCTTGGGGATTATGTAAGGGTGAAGGGTGATTAAGGACCCAGCGAAGGTGTCAGATTGCTGTGGAAGTCTGAAGGAACTGCTTAGATGCAAATAGAAATCAAAGCAGGAGACAAATTGATGTACTTGCTTGTGAAACTGTTCTGTACTTGGTAACCGTGGTATTAATTTAGATCAGATATGATGTTTGTAGTAAAAAATGGAAAAGAAATGTTTTTAATGGGATAAAAGTTGTGATAAGGTCTACTAGAGAGTGAGAAAAGATTACAGTGCAAAAGGTCTGGTTCAAGCCTGCTGTGGTTCACAGACAATTTTTGTATTCAGGAAATGAAGAGGCAAGGCAAAATGATTAGAGTGTGCTCAGCTCTGCTGAGCTGATGTATTATAACAAGTTGCGATGGGAGAAATGACGTGAAGCGCAGAGAGTTTCCAGCCTTCATTTTTCCTGTCTGCCTCAGCTCCTCGGGTGCTCACTCTCAATTCTGTCCTTCAGCAACTGCAAGACAAGGGTGGAGGTGGGGCCATAAATAACGCTAAAACTGGGCTATGGCAATGTTTTATTGAGCAGTGTGAGCAAATTGCATTCTGGCATCCTGAGACATTTGCAGAGAACTGATGCCTATGGGAGACTGGGTTGTTGCATGACAGGTTTCCTGAATGCAGGTGTTGAAGTTACCTGTTATTTACAGGAATGACTTCTCACTCTTCTAAAACACTATTTGCGCAAAAAGAAATGTACCTTGTCCAGTGCCCCACTGAGGAAGGTGTTTGCCTGGTGCTTTGAAGAGGATGAGCTGAGAGGCATGTTCCTTCAGGGGCTTATTTTCTCTGAATTGTAAACTTATTTCATCGCTTTTAACAGGAGAAACAAAGAGTTCTTTCCAGCACCACATCTAATCTTAAAAATCAATAAAGGAAAAAGGAAGTCATAAGTAGAAAAGCGTGGACTGCATCCATTAAATCGTAGTGTAAACTAACAGGTTTATGGTACATCTGATAATAACTGCTGGCCTTGTTGTAGATGAAGGAGCATTGGTCAGAGCAGCCAGGAATCTTCGGTTTGTATTCACTGGAAGGACACCTGACTCAGTGATCATAGAGTCTGTAAGTATATTGGAGTAACATAATTTCCTGTATTTTTTCATGTTGTATTAAATAATATCTGAATAACTGCATCATGGTGTATATCTATTTAGATGTTTTCCGGTTGGTTTTGGTTCTTTTGTTTGAGGTTTTTTCACATTCTCACTATTTTTTATATTTATTTTATTTTATTCTTCAGCTGGGTCAGGAAGAGAGGTATGAACTGCTCAACGTCCTGGAATTTACAAGGTAAGCAGCATGTTGTGCACTTGATGTCTTTTTGTGAAAACTTTTAATGAACTTCTCTTACGGGTAAAAATGTTTGCATTTTTTGTGTTTGTACAGGCAAAGTATGCAGGTTGTGTGGATATTATCTCTGTAATATGTGATCATACTATAGGCAAAGCAGCATACATGATTAAGATCATGCTTGTAGTTTTATTGTAAAAGATTTATTTTTCCTGTTATCTCCTTTTTGGCTAATATTTTTTGCTTTTGAGCAAAGGTTGAAAAGAACCTTTATCTCAAAACTTAAAAAAAATATGTGAAAAGACAGTATAGGAGAGTGCTTGAACTTTTAAATGCATTTCTGAAAGTCCTGGCATCATGTGATTTATTTTAAAAACTGCTATTTGGGAGCAGGAGGAGGAATTGAAATAAGCATTATTTTGCCTTTACTGATAGAATAAAATTTTGCATTTAACCTTGAATTTACTTGCAGCATTATGACTTGTTTAAATATTCTAGACTGAAACACATACTCTTCTGAGCAGAGTGTTGGCCAGTGAGTTTTCTGTAAAACTGAATTTATCACATACTTTGCCTTTACTAAAATTTTCTATCAAAGCTGTTGGAATTATAGAGGTGTACTCATAAGAAATCTGGATGCAGTTTCAGTTGTTATGTAAATCTGTTTAAAACGTATCCATGTATCCTCTCCTTGTAGGCCAGTTGCTTATTTTGGCACAGAATGGGGAAGGAATTTGTATGTAGAGGAAGCTCTTTTTTTTTCTTAGAATGATTATTTGTAGCTGTGCCTGCGGAAAGTCATTATTGTTATTCCTTCCTGTCCTATTATGTTTCCCTTAAGCTTAGCTAAAGAAGTGAAAAGATAAAAAAATAAAAACCCAAGGCAGTACTGGAGAGACAGGCTGAAGATGTATAGCTTGGGTGAAATGAGAAAAGTATTTGCCTGTAGTTGTAATAGTAATAATAATGTGAAACCTTTAAAGATCACCACACTGAAAAAAAAATGACAAAGTAATTTTTATAATTTTGAATTTCTTTTAATGACTGCTTGCAACTAATGTTAGTTTTATATATTGTAGAGGACATTTTTTAGATGGATGCTGTGGTTTCGTTTTTCTGTAGGCACTTCTTTGACTTTCTGTTCTGGAAAGTTAGCAAGAATGTAGCACAGAGCGCGGTGTTAGTTTGACATCTGTGAAAGTTTATACTGCATTCATGGAGTAGCAGTGAAGGATTCCGGTGTTGGTTTTGATCTTAGTCATGATTTTGTAGATCACTTTAAACCTTTGTGTCAGTCTAAAATTGTAATTTACACAGTGGTACTTCATGGAGAAATTGCTTTTAAAGCTTAACCTTTGGAGGATTAAGGTTTTTGCTGGATACCAATAACCCAACTTTATTAAGCATTCAGTTTTTATAGCTGGTTTTGTTCTTACTCTGTAATATTTACCTTTGCTTGGAGATGACTTGTTGGAAGCACTAGAGGTCACCCTTGTTCCACAGCAAGAGAAATTTTGGCTCCAGACATATCATCTGTATGGGTAGGAACATCTACCTTTAGAGCAGTAATCTGTAGCAATTAAATTATTGAGTTAAGAGTTTCCAGGTGTTCCAAGATTTTCCCAGAAAAGATGCAAATTCCTTGCCACCTTCCAGTACAAGCCAGATAAGACTCTTCTGCAAGCAGAGTGCAACAGTGTCAACATTTGATTGGATAGTCTTTCAGAGAAGTATGTTACGGAAGTAAAAATTGCAGGAATACTTGCAGAGTTGTCTTTTAAGGTATTCTCTTTTTACATGATCATAGCTATGCCTGTGGAAAGAGTAGTAGTAGACTTATACAATACACTAATTATACTTTGTTCATAGCAAGGTGGTAGCTCTCGGTGTAACTGGGAGATGAGCATACTGAAAGCAGCTGATAATACTTAAGCAACTGGCAATGTAGTGCTAATCTCTGCAGAGCAAAACCTGTCATGATAACTTGTGCTGAGTTTAGGTTGCTTCCAGTAGGTACTCTGCTCAGTTGCCAAACCGCTATGGTACTTTAAGCTCAAGGAAGTGAAAAGTTGCTCAGACCCTCTGCTGTTCAGTGTCCCTATACTCCCTGTACTGTCAGGGAAGGAATTGCACAGCGTTGTGTCCCTTCTTTCATTCTGTCACTCAGAACTGTAACAAACAAAAAACACAGCTGTCCTTTGGCACCCAAAACCAGCTCCTATGATGTTTATCTGCAGAGCAGGAGGAAGCAAGACACTATGTCATTTAAGGATCCAGAAGAACCACAGAATGTCTTATGCTTCCTGCCATCCCTGTGCCAACTGCATGCACTGTCTTTTCACCTGTACCAGTGGCAAAGATGAGCATGATACTGTGTGATTCCTTGTTTTGGTGAATGTAAACAACGTGCACTGTCAGTCCTTGCATCAACGTGTCATTACTAGCAGTGCTACTGAATGAGGTTTTGACTTGTATCTGCTTGTTCTATCAGAGGAATTAACTCCATTTTTAGCAGCAAAGTTAATTTCACTTGCAAGTATTGAGTATAGATGTAGTAATATAATTTCAGTGTTTGGAGTATATGCCATCTATTGATTTAATGACTAATTTTCATCTGAATCTCTGGGGCATACCTCCACAATATAGCAGAAACTGTGATATTTACAGAGCTTCTTATCTAAAACCTAAACATTTTTCATTTAGAATGCCAGTGTATTTACCTGAAATACAGAAATAGCTTGACCAGACCCCTGTCTGATCAGTTTTATGAATAATCTATGTTGCTTTGGCTGTTGTATTGGGCAGATGGAAGGCTTGCTTCTAGAGCATTTGAGACCTTATCTCCTCTCCATCATTCATAGAGGTCCAGAATATACTGATTCTGTTTTGTAACTGAAGACTGCTTCTTCTAAATGTAGGAAAAGGATGAGTGGCTGACAGAGGAGGTACCAAAAACTCCTGTAACAGTGTTTGTTTTCTGTGGTTATGTGCTTACACTCTGAAGAAATTTTCATCTTAAACCTGAGACAGATTTTCGGGTAACGGAAGACTCATCAAGAGCTGCCTCTGGAAGTGGCAAATCTTGTGACTGAGGGAAGTATTTCTATTCCCTCTAGATGCTCTGTCCATCTGTAATCCCATGGCAACTCCATGGGAATTACCAGCTCTTCTGCCTCCTCCTCATGACCCAAAGGTTTACGCAACCTGTGGGTATATTGAGATATCGTGAAAACGGGTTTGCATGATTCCATAGCACACAAGGACATGAGGACTTTAATTTCTAAATGTCTTTATTACATATTGCTACAAATTACCACTAGTAAAGCAAGTACATCCATGATTAACAAAACAAGTACATTTATAATTTAATAGTAGCAACATGTATGTATTTACATGTATTACAAGTTGCGACTAAACTATTACTGATGAAGAAATAAATTTCAAATTAGTTACCTCTATATGTGTGCACACCAACACACACCTCTATATATTATTCAAAATATACTCTCTCTGTACATATCATATATTAAAAATAGTACAGATATAGTGCTCCCCAACCACTCATCGGAGTGGTCCCTCAAATTCAATGACTGACAGAATTTCACTTTAAAGAGTGAGAGTCTGGAGTCAGCTGTTCAGTTCTCAGTGATGGTGCAGTGAATTGTCTAGGAGATACCAGAGAAAAATTCATTCGGGATGGTTCTCATGAGATTCCATTTTGGGGTAAAGGCAAGTCATTTTTATATTGCAGAGACATAAGGGGTTGTAGGACACCATCTGCAGCAATCAGTTTGTATTTTGCATCTGAAACAGCCAATAGATGATGGTATTTTCTTTTCTCTCAGTCCATTTTTTTATTTTTCCAGAACATTTCCTTGTTCTTTCAGCTAAAACAACTGATAGCAGTTGCTGATTCCTACATTCGCAGGATGTTTTCTACCTTTTCCAGACTTTTTTCACATTTCCAGACAAAAACTACAGAGATGCTTGCTGCCCTTCTCAAGGATGTTTCTCATTCCCAGCCTTGCAGTTCCCAGGCGGGCAGGCATTTCCTCTGTCAGTATTTCAGCAGATATCTCTGTTCAGTACTTTTCCCCTTATAACTGAATCACCTTTATGGTTGCTCACATCACTTCTCTTGTGAAGAAAACAAGACCAAAAAATATCCTCATATTGACAGTTACTTGTATTAGTGCGATTTTGTGATTTTCCGTATTTCACCAGGAAAGGGAAGTAAAACTGACACTGCAATGAAAAGGGTCATAAAAAGTTAGAAGTTCTTGACAGTTAAGTTCAGCTCATTAGCTTTATTGCATTTTTACTAGGAGAATACATGTCAGTCAAGTTTCAGAATGCTACAGGAAAACATTGGTTATTCTCTTACTGCCTGTCTTCAGTAGAGTGATAGGCAGCTGTATGCAGAGTTTCAGGATTGCTATCTTCTGGCATTGCAACGCAAGTAAAAAACTGCTGAACTTTTACCTGTCAAGGACATATAAATCGAATTATTCTTTATACAAGCCCTAAATTAAAGTAATTCCTCCACAGTTCCCTAACAGAACATTCAGGCAATTGTTAAGAATTTAAATAGCAGTAGGCTAGGTAATCTTCCCAGGAAACAAAGTGGATCTGAGACTTGCAACTTAACTGCAGTTTAGATATCTGAATTTCTCCACTGTTGTCTAAGCAGATCCCCAACTGGACACTCTTTAAGGGGTTTTGGACTGGCGATTATTTGAGGTGTTTTGGATTAGAGATGAAATGGAGAAAGAGTTGCAGCAGTTAGTGCCTTCTTATGTTCTCATGTACAGTATTCATGGTAAAAATGTAATTTAATATTGCTGTTCAGATGTCTATACTTGAAGCAAACTGCACACACAGGTGGAATAGGAAAATATTTTCTTGAAGGTACTATTTCAGTCAATTACTTCACCAATAATTATAAAATTCTTTCCTCCACCTATCTCCATACATTCCACTTTCAGGATATTTTCCATGGCAGTCTGAACTTCAGGAACTGTTCATACAATAATGCTATTTGATGAACCAGTTGAACAGGAACCGAAGTTTTAGAAGGACATCTCTTTTGTGTATTTTATCGTGAACTATTGTGCAAGAAATTGGTTTTGTTCCCTAAACAGTTTCTGTGGATTTAATTAAAAAGCAAGTTTAAAAGAATTACAATATTTTGACTGGATGTGGTCTTAAATCTAAAGAATGCTTGTTGGAGGACCTCAAAGGAAAGACAGAAGGCAGAGAATGACAGTCATCTCTATGCTTTCCTCCAATTCTAACTTCAGTTGCAAGGACAAAAAACTTAAATCTCATTAACAACTGAGAACCAGAGTAGATAAAATGAAGCACAAGCCCCCTTCCAAAACTTAGTGTACTTAAAACTTTGCGTGATGAGTGAGACTCTGGGATGGCAATAGTAGGATTGCAGCACATGGCAGTGCACGAGAGACTCTGGCTGGGAAAAAAAGTAAATGCTGAAATGGTCTGTGATGCACTATCTGTTTATGATATTATGATATAAAGCTTTGTGCTTTAAGATGCTTTTATTGTGATCAGTAGGAAGCATTCAAATGAAGGTGAATATTCTCAATTTTTTTTTTTTACAAGAAAAAGGCCTACAAAAGTATGCACACAAATATCCACCATAATTATTAGACAATAAAACTGTTTTTCCATACTAATTATCTCACATCATAATTCAGGGTAGATAGCACTTATTTCTTTTCCTTATATAAGATATATATTGATATTTTCATGTAAAATGTTGGTAAATGTTTATGTCTATGAACCATCTTATATAGGGCATTTGTTTCTCTTTCAGCTCTAGGAAAAGAATGTCAGTGATAGTCCGCACACCATCAGGAAAGTTAAGACTCTACTGCAAGGGAGCTGTGAGTTTTACTCTGTTTTCACTGTATCACGGGGCGTGTGCTACCAATACAAATACAGAAATAAAAGGTGGTAATAACTGCAGTCAAAACATGGAAAATATGGGGGAAGGAATATTGATGCCTTTTTCCGTTCATATTATTTTGCTATGTAACTGTTTAATGTGGTGTGCTACTTAACGTTGTTTGTTTTTTGCTAACTGCCTACAAAGGTATGATGGACCTGTTCATTCTGTCCATTGTACTAGACTAATACCTGTATGATTCTAATGATTCTAATACTGCTTTTTTTAATACTAAAAAAAGAATAGGATCAATATGTGGTTTAATGTATTAGTTACTTGCTGGGATAGCTGAACATGAATCACTAGATAGAAATAGTAATCTAGAAAGCAACTGGATGGGAATTTTAACCTACCGTTAATATTATACCAGAAGTAAATTTTCATAAAACCAGATTCTGTGGAAAGATAACTTAATCTTAATGTATCTGGGAATGGCACAATTGCTCATTAGTTCTTGTTTTATGTTTTAAGTCAAGCTTAAGGGGAAAGGGGCTACAAATCCAATTCCCAAATGGTTTGAAAAAAATGAAGTTGATGAATAGAAATGTCTATTCTGTATCTTCTCAAGCAGAGAGAAGAAGCTGTTGTTAATATATATATCAAGCTGGCTGCAAAAACGTAAGAATGGCAGTTAGGAAACAGTAATTTTACTTTGTGGGCTTAATATTACAGAGTAAGACAGCATTTTAGGAGATGAAAAGAATTCACATGGGAAGCCAAAGGAAGGTGCAGCGCTTTGCAAAACGAAGGGAAGTAACAGCAAAAAATGTTGGAGAGAAAACTGCATCATAGCAGAATTTGTAAATTTAGAGAATCTGAGGATTTGTAATGTCCCTTTTTCCTTCCTCTGAAATAAAATTACTTCTATACATTTTTGATGCTGAAGTAAATTAATACTGTGCTGCATATTCTTCTGCCATTTTCCTACATGACTTACATTGTCTACATAAAAACCACTCATTTTTCTATTGAATTGTTCTGAGTTCATTTTATTTGTTTTGTAGGATACTGTAATTTATGACCGCCTTGCTGAAAGTTCAAAATACAAAGAAATCACCTTAAAACATCTAGAGCAGTTTGCTACAGAAGGTGGGTGATATCATTCAATATAGAACTAAATAGGAAATTCGGTTACTGCTCCACTTCACAGTTTTGCATTTTTATGTTACTGTAATGTTTTATTCACGTTAAGTTTGGAAATTGCGTTTTAGTAATGCCTCCTAAAAATTATCTTCCTCTCCTTGAGAAGTTTGAGTGGTAAGTTCATACTTAAAAGAAACCAAAACACCCACACAGTATGTAGTGGAGTTTTTCCAGAGAGTAAACACATTGTACATTGTTTCTGTGAAGATATCTTCTCCCATGATCACTGTCATGTCCCACGCAATGAATGCTGTAGGGATTGCACACGGGAAGAAGTAGCCAAAATGAAGATGCGTGGAAATGGTTAGTGTAGTGCTTTTAAGGTAGCTTTGTTGTATGTGATTTCTGTCACCAGTACAGAAAGGGAAACTGCCAGTGCTAGCTTTCTGTATGGTGCGTTTTGTCATCCCTGCTGTTTTAACAGTCACTCTTACAAAGCATTTGATGAAGGTGGGGAGCCCTCCCTGAGGTAGGAATAGTAAGAAAAATTCAGAAGACTATGAGATTAAGGTGATTGATAGAAACAGACAGTTATTTATTTTATAATAATGAATTCCACAGTATAGACATGAGCAGGAAAGCAGACTGTAGAAAAGTTTCTGCTTTTATGTAAGTTCTTCTAGCACAGTTCCTGGATATTCAATGCCTGCTGCGTTTCTGGTATCTTAGGAAAGGATTATAGAGTTGTACTGTGAAGTGCCATTTATCGGTGAATTGGAGAGAGTCGTTGGTAGCAGAATTTTAGTAGTTATGGGAATCTGAACTCTATTTTTTTTTTTTTACCTCTTCATTTTTTGAATGCGATGTTACTAGAACATTAAAAATACCTTTAATGTGTCTTAAGAAATAAGCTTACATTGGAAATTAAGCTTTATTTAAATATAGTTTTATTCTAAAATAAAATTCTTACCTTTTGGTAACTGATGTCTCGAGAAATGCTATATCAGGAAAGATCATTTTTGTTTGTTTTACATATGACTTCTCTAATTTTTCTCTTTTGGTTTATAATGGAATGTAGCATTTTTATTAGTGTCATAGTCAGCACCTCCAGTCTCTTGATTCTGCCAGTCACAGCAGAAGTAAGCCAGAAGATCCTTTTGCTAGTTTTCCATATCAGGTTCTGTGCAGGTTGCATTTGATTAACCTTAAGTAATCTTAAAAGATATAAAGTATTACACAATAAAGTTGAAAGCAGAACCAAGCACGTTTGACTGATGGTACAATATGAATCCTCAAGTATACCCTTTGAGCCCATGAATCTAGTTGTGTGAGCTGTTTGCCTAGCTTAGGTTTTTATAAAAGCCTAACTAGGATTAGTCAAGGAAAAGTTACTTAAGTGTGAAGTTAGTTTGGGTCATAAGGCTGTAAATTTGGTTAAAAAAAGGTAAAAATAGATTATTATCAGCTGTCCTTTGTGAAGCTATATGAAAAGTTCAATCCAGTTCTTAATTACTCTTCTCACTAAATTAGTGATAAAGCTGACAATTTTTCCCTTAGCAGTCAGGCTGGACAGAATGAATCAACATAAAAAGTGAAAAATTCCATCCATCTTTAAAACCACTGTACCTACGTATTAGTTTTAAGAAGTTTGCTCAAGTATTTTTGTACCCATCTTTTCAACACATGAAAAGATTTACTGTTCCGAAGAGTGAAATGCTAACCTTTCAAAAGCACAAAATTCAATCTTTAAGGAAAAAAACCCAACAACTAAGTACGTGTCTCTCTGGAATTGATTAAAAAAAATCAGTATTTATTTTTGCATCAGATTTAAACTGCAGTTGATGATGTTGCAAAGTTCCTCATGTGTATCCTTTCATGTGGCAGTACAGTATGTCCTTGGCATTTGCTGCGTGCTCTTGGTGTGTTGTTCAAAAATGAAGTGGTTAGTATGGCTTGCATATATATTAAAGCATTTATTAAGCCTGAGTGTTAATGCCTGCTCAGATAAACAGAAGAAGTGTATAATTTTCCTGTGTTGTTCCAGTCTGTTAAGAAGCAGACTTAATGCTATTTTGTTTTCCACTTTCTTTTGGAAGATTCTTTTAAATTAGAATAAAAATAATCATTTTAAAATTAGAAAAAATAATTAATCTGATTTTAAAAAAAGGCAAATGCCTTGAAAAAGAGTTTGCTGGTATTCCGCACATGCTGACTTTTTAATTTTATCATCTATATAAAATATTTTGAAAGAGTTAGGGAAATAGTATTGCTATTACTCATTCATGGATTCCTTTCCTCCCCTTCATCTCATATTCATTGCTTTGGCCCTTGCTAGCATATCCTTATTATGCAGAGAAAGAAAATAAATCAGTTCATTTGTAAGCTTCAGTTTATTCTTTAGGTCTAGATGGTGAGACATGGTGTCCCTAATATTGTTCAGTTGTCAGGATATTAGGATTACATATGGTTTTCATCCTGAGGATATTAAATTACTGTCTTGCATCTAAGATACATATGTATTATTTCATGCCCAGCCTTTTGATCATTTTAGAATTGCTGCTGGTGCTCAGCTGTAGACAACAGAAACCTGTGAACAGATAAAGATTGCATTTAGCCATCCCTGCTTATGATGCTGCTCATCTCCTAGAGCAGAGTGTGCAAATGACCAAAGGCATTACCTACATTAGTCCTGTCTGTCCCCCTCTTAAATCTGCTTGCCTAAAAATTGTGGCTTACAAGACATCACTGAGCTAGAGCAATGCTCTTCTCAGTATATAAAGCGTTAGGCCAATTTCATGCTCTGTAAATCTAAGAATCTTGTAATGTGTGAAAATGGACTGCTAGGATATTCACACTTGGCTACTTTAATGAAATGTAAATGTTTGTTATCAAAAAATAGATATTTCTTCTAATTCTGCAGTCTCAAATTCTCACTATAGTGAGAATCCAGGTTTCTGTTGAAGGGAAGAAAATAAAAAAATCTGTGAAGTGTAACCAGCTCAAAGATTATCTCCAAATGTCTGCAAACTAATGATTTTAACAGTTTGGGAAGCTGAAAGAACATGTGAGATAGGAAAATTTAAATCTGAGCGGGCTCAAACTTGGCTTCTAGACGGTAAATTTCAGTCAACTAACAATTTCTTAAGGAGGAGAAGAGGGTAGCATCATTATGCTGTTAATATTTTAACTTTATTGGTTTACAGCATAACAACATGTAAGTTTATAAAATTTTTGTTCCACAATATAATTCAGTTGTAGAGTTTTGATGTTCCTATTTAATGTATAGACCTGTTGAGCAAGTGTAATCTGCGATAACCTTGTGGTTTTTTTAAAGATAAGTAAAATCTTGTGTAAAATCTCACATTTTTCCCTGGAATTACATGACCTGTATTACATTCAGCTACCTCGAAAGAGTTACTTTATTGGATAAATTTCTATTTGTATCATGCTTTTTATTTTACTTTTTTTTAAAAAATCTCCAAGACGTGCAGCAGGAAGTTGAAAATCACAGACATACATAAAAGCTGAATTTATTCTGTATTGTAGTAGTTACTCATTGCAGGCATATCAAGGAAACGAGTAACAAATACTGAATCTTACTTGCTATCTGCTTTCTTTTTAGGCTTAAGAACTCTGTGTTTTGCTGTGGCTGAGATTTCGGAAAGCGATTATCAAGAGTGGTTAAATGTCTATCACCGTGCTTCTACAGCTATACAAAACAGAGCACTCAAACTTGAGGAGAGCTATGAACTCATTGAAAAAGTATGTGTATCTTCCTGGGTTTGGAGAGTTTTTTTGGGGGTGGAGCGGGAAGGAGAGGGAAGGGGAAGAAAGTGGGGTTTTTTAATTGATGTCCTTACTTTCTGTACTGTGAAACCTGAATCATCATTGAGGAATAATGCATAGATGGGAAGAAATCTAGCAATGTACTAACAGCTGTGTCATATAATTTTAATTTGACAAAGTTTTTGCAGCAAGTGGCTACCTTATGAGAAGCTATTACTTTTGAGATGAAACTACTGGAAACCTTTTTTTCAGGATTGCTTTATTGTGTTTAAAAAAAAAAAGTGTAAGAGCAGGCAGACATCCACTTCTTTGCATAACGATCTTGAAACAGTAGCATAGATAAGGTTGGAAGAGATTTCTGGAGGTCATCTCGACACAAATCCCTTCTCAAAGAAGAGCTAGTTTTGTTTGCCTAGCATTTTGATGAAGTCTTGAGTATCTGCAAGGAGGGAGTTTTCCCAGCTGCAGTAGGCAGAGATTCTTTCAGTGCTCAGCTATTCTTCTTCCCCTTTTCATGAATTAAAATTTCTGTTGCTGCAGAATGCAGTTTTGCCCTTTCACTGTTACCTGTTAGAAGATGGCTTCTCCTTCATTTAGTAAAAGGCAGCCGTGGAATCCCTTCCTTAGCCCATTTTTTTTCCCACATTAAACTTTGTTTCCTCAAACAGTCTCCAAGCCCCAAGCTCTAGTGGAGCTGCTCTACTTTGTTAACCTCTCATACACCGAATGCCTGCAAAGGAAGGTGATACCCAGATGCAAAGAGCAGAGCCATAATCGCTTCCATTGAGATTCTGGAGTAGCCAAACGTGTGGTTAGACCTCAGTACCTCGACAAAAAAGGCTCCCATGGCTCTTAAAATGTACAAGCAAAAGGAGTTCATTACACCAATATTGCTTGAAGTTTTGATACTTGACTTTTTAGGGGTGCTGGGTTTTTTCACTTGGAAAGGAAAAGAGAGATTACATTGACAAAACTTCTTAGAATTCAGAGCCTCAAAAACCTGCACCCTTTAATTCCTGAAAGGGTGAGGATATATAACTTCAGTCACTTGTGAGACTTCATTTTACACAGATGAGCGATTTAACCAGAGATGCACAAGATGCTCTTTAAACTGTATAACTTCATTACAAATTTGTGTATTAGCTGCACAAGTACGTTCTCAGCAGGTAATATGCAGGCTATCCTGGAACCAGGATTACACACTATTATGTCTATAATGGTGTCATTAACAGGGTTTTAGCTAGTTCTAAAGGTATAGAAATACCAAGTGTAAAAAAGGCTTTATTCACAAAAGCCATTTAGATTTGTTTTATGGGAAGTTAAAACCAAACAGTCAAAGTAGTTTTAAGGTTAAGATGAATTGGTAGGTGAAGTGAAATCATTACAAGTGAGAGAAAAAACAATATCACTCCTGAATTCTTCAAATCAGAGGTGCATCTCAGGAAAAGGTGGCTGTTGCTGAGCAAGCTACTGAGCTTGTGAATAATTGGGTGATTTTTTTTTTTAGTTGTCACATTGTGCAGTTTGTCAAGCTGCATCGATATTTGACTTAAAGCTCATAGGAATAAACTGGAAGATCTTTATTACTTGATACCAAATCTGATTAATGAATTTGGAGACCATTAATCATGTTGTAAATATGGAAAGTTAAACAAAAAAACCCAGAAGGATCAAAACTGAATTTAAACTGAAAAACCTGCATGTACTGAATATTTTTTTGTTCACAGAACCTTCAGCTGCTTGGAGCAACAGCAATTGAAGATAAGCTACAAGACAAAGTGCCTGAAACCATAGAAACACTCATGAAAGCAGACATAAAAATTTGGATACTTACTGGGGACAAACAGGAGACTGCCATTAACATCGGTATTATATCTGCATTTCTTTGATGGCTTTGTTACAGATATACAAATTATAAAAGTTACTAAAGTAGAATTGCTTTCAGAATGGAATAGTATCTTGTAAAAAAAATGTTAGTGTATTTTTCAGTCTCTGGTAGAAGGAGAGGAGAGGGAAAAAAAAAGGTATTTGTGCTTTTTTGTTGCATCTAAAATGAATTAAAAATATATGGTTTGGGGTGGGAGTTTTTTTCCTTCTTTCCAGACAAAATGGTAGGGACCAGCAAAACAGTGTAGATTGTGTATTAAAGTACTATACAACGTAGCATCAGTCAGGCTTCTTTTTATTCTTTCCTTTTTTTACAAAGGAGGGGAAAAATGAATCAAGAATTAACTAAGTTTAGTAGTGATAAATTTGTGGTTTTAATTAGTAATACGTGAAAGCAGCATTGAAGATTTAATATTTTTTGTTAAGTCAGCATATCAGCACTTCTGCCATAACCTGCATTATTTTGGTCATATAGATCCTTTTTATTACTATTATTATTTCTAATATTAAAGAACTTTTTCTATGCACATGATACATTTCAATAGTACCTTCAGGTTTGAGGTAATACATGTAATAGTTGTATTTTCACTTTATTAAGAATGGAGATTTTTTTTTTTTCCCCCCCAGGCAGTCTGCATGATTAATACTCAGCATACATTCTGTTTAAAGCATCAAAGAATAAAAGAAAAGAGAGGGAACATGTGTATATGTAAATTTCATATGAACTACAAGGCTAAGGGAAATCATAGAATCATAGAATGGCCTGGGCTGGAAGGGACCTTAGAGATCATCTAGTCCAACCTCCCTGTCATGGGCAGGGATGCCACAATCTGTTTGCTGTTTTCTGTAACTCCCTGTAAAAGTGTTTCTTGTCCTTCTGCTGAGTACCTCTCTGAATAAGGCACAACAGTTGCAACTTGCAGCAAAGAAAATTCTAACTATTCTTATTACCTGGATGTCTAATTTATATAGAATGCAGTATAATTTTACCATTGATTTCAGCTGGGCGAGTTTTATTTTTAACTCTGCCTGTAGTTCTCTTTCAGGAAAAAAAGGGCTGTGTTATAATGTATTTTGTGTGTCATTTTTGTTTTCAAAAATGTTTTTAACAGGTCACTCCTGTAAACTTTTGCGAAAGAATATGGGATTAATCGTTATAAATGAAGGCTCTCTTGATGTAAGTAAAACCTGCAAGGTTTTCAGTTAATGAAACATTATTTTAATGCTTAAAATATACAGACATCATGATGGTGGTGTCTTGAAAAATAACTTGGACCATCTGTTTTATCTGGACAAGCACAGAAAACTCTGATAAAACCAGTGTTTGGTGGGGAGGTTTGGTTGGTTTGGGGGGTTGCTTTTTTGGTTTGTTTATTATAATATTCTCAGTTAATTATAGTATTGCATACTTCAAAGTCCGTATGGTCTTTGTGACAAAATGTTCCTGGATAACTGGAAAGTTAAGTCTACAGCTTCCAAAATCACAGTGTAGCTACTACACAAATAAACTTCAACATGATGAGCAAACAAATTGCATGTCATGGAATAGTGCCATCCATGCAGGCATAGAGCCAGTGGCACCTAACAGTAGTAGCACTTAACAGTGCCCAAACAAGCTACTCGTAAGTTGCTTTCTAACGCTGTTTCTCACGGAATCATAGAATCATAGAATGGCCTAGGTTGGAAGGGACCTTAGAGATCATCTAACCCAACCCCCCTGCCATGGGCAAGGACGCCTCTCAGCTAGACCAGGTTGCTCAAGGCCTCATCCAACCTGTCCTTGAGCGCCTTTAGGGAGGCGGCATCCACAGCTTCTCTGGACAATTTGTTCCAGCATCTTGCCACCCTTGTACTGAAGAATTTTTTCCTGAGATCCAGTCTAATTCTATTTTCCTTTAACTTTCCCCTTGACGTGTCAGTGGACACTCTTGTTAAAAGTCCCTCCCCTGCCTTCCTTAGTATCTGCAAAAAATTAATTTTTGCTGTGTGGTTAAACAGCTGAAATGATAATCAGATGCTGAGGTATAAGTAAGAGTTAAAACTACCAACTTGTACAGTGCTTTGTAGAGAAGAGATTCTGCAGATAAATTAGGAATGCAGTATTAAGTGAAAAATTATGCAATATTAAATGAAAAATCTCATGAGAAAAAAAAAGCAATCCTGTTCACACGCTCTAAGTGAGCCTTAAATGAACTTCGGAAGTAGAAGAATTTCCCCAGTGGGAAAACTCACTGTTCGGAAGGCTTCAGGAGAAAACCCTGAAATTAAGTTTACCTTACTCTATATTGTTCAGGTTGCTCAAGACCAGGCTTAGGGAGAGAAAGTGAGAGAAAAGTCAAGTATGAGAATCCGTAAGAGTCGGACAGTGCCTTAACTGAAGGATTTGGTGGTAGCCTCTGTAACATTAGTTAATTGAAATACTTCCTACTTTTTTTAAATAAGTACTTTTTAAAATGTTTTGACTGATTTAGACTAACACATTTTCAACATTAGTATGAGTTTAATCATGATAACTGTATTTCAAATATGACTTGTTTTAAGCAGCATATTTATGCCGATAAAATATAAAATAAAATCCCGAACACAGCACAGGCAGCAACTGTTGATTAGTGTCTGGAGCCAGAGCCTGTTGATACAGTAAGCAACTTTTGACACAAGTAGCCTGTGATATTAATGAAAAGAGGCAATTTTCTTAGGTTATTTCACTGGTTAGCTTTAGAAAGATTGCAGGTGTTGTTTGTTGAAAAAACAGGCCAGGTTTTTCGTTCAAGCCCTTAATTTTGCTTTTAAGTTTTTCACTCCTCAACCAACCTCTGAGCAAAAATTAACCAATGCAAGTGAGAACTTCTGTCTTACATTTAGGTTATTTACACAGACTGTGGGATTTTAGAGCTACTACTAGACTTAATAGATTTGAAGTGCAAAAGTTTGAGTACTTTGTATACTTCTTCATATGTAAGGAAATAAAATGAGGTGATTTTATTTAGCTACTAAGAGGAGACCAATAAAAACTCAGTGAACAAACATTTAACTTTTAACCACTTTCAGTGTGATGATTTAGCAGTTGAATAAAATTTTTAAAATAAATGTATGTAAATATACTTTAAGAATAAAATATAGCATCTGATATGACAGCTGTACTGTACTCCCCATGCCTGAATCGTGTGGAGGTTGAGAGATCCTTTCCCTAAAAGCCTGCATCCCCACATACTCTGAACCTATCGTATGGCAGCTGAAATTGCATATATAAACTGCTTGCTTGCAAATCTGTCTGTGGTGACAACATAAATGGTGGGGATTTGGGGAGTAGGTAAATGTAGTGACTGGATAGTTTGAGGGCAAGAGGCAGTTCAAAAATTGATAATAAACTAACTCTGTTGACTTTTTAAAAAAGAGACTCCGTTAAAAACTTTCTGCCTTGTTTGCCAGTGTTCACTGTTTGATTAGTGTATACCTTGTGTCTTGCCTTTTGTTTGCTGCTGTGTTTGGAATCGGCTTTTTGTCTGTTAGGAATATGACTGAAGCTTTAGCTTTCAAAGTGACATAGGTCCATCTCTCATACTGGGACTCTGTCTCGTTACCTGGCAGCTGCCATGAGGGCTGCTGGACAGCCCAGTGCCCTCAGCACACGAGTAGCTGAGCAGCCACAAAATCTTGGAGAAAAAAGTCCTGATGTGTTGGGACTTGTGTGTTTAGCGTCTTGGAGAAGAGTTGCTCTGTGGCAGTCCTCTCCTTGGCTCTGCGAAGTGTGGGTGTAGCCTCTGGGCTGTATAAAGCTGTTGGTATGTTCATATAAGTTAGGAAAGTTGGTTTCTCTTGGTCTCCATACTCTTGCAGTACTGGAAATAGTGGCAGTAAGTGGGTGCTTCTTGCCCTTGCAGTAATAGTACAATATCTGTTGCATACCAATGGTTTCTTCTGAAATAGCGCTATCTTAAGCCTAATCTTTTTAGGGACAGGCTGAGTACTCTGGCCCTAAGACATGTAAAACAGATTTAACAAACCAAATACCTCCTCTGAGGTGTCTTTGGCACACTGTGAAAGCAGTCCTACACACCATTTCTACTGTGGTTTCCAGTAGTACAGCTGTTGCAAATACTTTTTCATGTGTGTGTATCTGATAGCATAATCAAAAGGTAATTTCCTCAGAAAATGAAATGCCAGTGTTTCTGATCACATTGAAAAAAAGTGGATTTTTAAGAACAGTAGGAATTAAAAATAATAGACACCTTTTTATTTTTTTTTGTGCAACAGGGAACAAGAGAGACACTTAGCCATCATTGCAGTACTCTTGGTGATGCTTTAAGGAAGGAAAATGATTTTGCTCTCATCATTGATGGTAAATCTTTGAAGTATGCTTTGACATTTGGAGTGAGACAATATTTCCTGGATTTGGCTTTGTCATGTAAAGCTGTTATTTGTTGCAGGTAAGTTTATTATTCTTGTTCTATAGTATTTAATCAACATAAAAATTAAGAAATTTATTTTATTTCAGAGAAAATAAACATATTGATGATATCCAACCATGAAATACAAAAAAAGAAAAATCTCTAGTAACTGAACTTATGAAATACAGTCGTTCAAGCAAAATATTTCTGTAGAGCATGCTGCTACAGTGTACATGTCAAAGAAAGTAACAGGTTTCATAAACCTAGAAAAATAATATGCTTTCCATCAAGGATAGATTCAGCAAGGTTGAGGCACTGATCTTAATCTTAAATTAATACTACAGTTAACTGCAAGTTTTAGCACATCTGCGTTCTTTCATAGAGCTTTTTCCACAGGCAAAATTTTATGTCTCTGCTTTCCCTGTAAAACATTGATTACATTGCGTAAGAACCACATGAAAATGTTAGAGGTACTACTCTGGGTGATTTTTGTTTCTTGAAGCTGATGAAAACACCTTTGTTTGCTACTAATACTAACTGATAGTTCTGGGATTCTTTTACAAAATCAGATATTTAATCTTTTCCTGTATAAACAACAGCTATTAGAGATGTTTTAGCTTACCATAACAAGAGAACTTTTTCCAGATAAAGAAAACTAAATATCAGCACTCTTTAAATATGCACAGTATGAATCATAGAATCATAGAATGGCCTAGGTTGGAAGAGGCCTTAGAGATCATCTAATCCAACCTCCCTGTCATGGGCAAGGACGCCTCTCAGCTAGACCAGGTTACCCAAGGCCCCGTGGGCATCCACAACTTCTCTGGACAATTTATTACAGTCTTGCCACCCTCATACTGAAGAATGTTTTCGTAAGATCCAATCTAAATCCATTTTCCTTTAACTTAAATCCATTTCCCTTTATCCTCTCGGTGGACGCTTTTGTTAAAAGTCCCTCCCCTGCCTTCCTGTAGGTTCCCTTCAGGTACTGCAAGGCAGTTATAAGGTACCCCTGGAGTCTTCTCTTTTCGAGACTGAACAATCCAGTTCCCTTAGCTAATAGCAGAGGTGCTCCAGCCCCTGGATCAATTTTGTGGCCCTCTTCTGGACTTACTCCAGCAGATCTATGTCCCTCGTACAGTGGGGGCACCAGAATTGGACACAGTATTCGAAGTGGGGTCTCACAAGAGCAGAGCAGAGGGAAACAATCACCTCTCTTGATCTGCTGGCCATGCTCCTCTTGATACATCACAGGATGTTGTTTGCCTTTGGGGCTGCGTGAGCGCATTGCCAGCTCATTTTAAGCTTTCTCATCTATCAACACCCCCAAGTCCTTCTCTTCATAGAATCATAAAATAGTTTCAGCTGGAAGAGACCTTGAAGATCATCGAGTCCAGCTTTTGTCCCAGCCCTATCAACCTACTAAACTATGTCCCCCAATGCAACATCTAGTTGTCTCTTAAACACTTACAGGGACAGTTACTCAACCACCTCCCTGGGCAGCCTGTTCCAATGGCTGACAACGCTTTCAATAAAGAAATTCTTCCCAATGTCTAACCTGAACCTCCCTGGCGCAATTCAAATCCATTTCCCCTCGTCCTGCCACTCTCCACTAGGGAGAAGAGACCAACTCCCGCCTTGCTACAACTTCCCTCCAGGTAGTTGTAGAGGGTGATGGGGTCTCCCCTCAATCTCCTCCAGGCTAAACAGCCCCAGATCCCTCAGCCTTTCCTCATACAACTTATGTTCTAAGCCCTTTACCAACTTGGTAGCCCACCTCTGTACCCTCTCCAGCACCTCAATGTCCGTCCTGTAGTGAGGGGCCCAGAAGTGGACACAGGACTCGAGGTGAGGCCTTGCCAAAGCTGAGTGGAGGGGCATGATCACCTCCCTACTCCTGCTCACAACACTATTTCTGATCCAGGCCAGGATGCTGTTGACCTTCTTGGCCACCTGGGGACATGGCTAGCTCACGTTCAGCTGGCCTACTCTCAACCCACTCTGTGCCTGGTTTGAATTTGTGCCTGGGACCGGACCAGCCCAGGTACAGGACCTTGCGTTTTGACTTGTTGAAGCTCATGCAGTTTGCACTGGCCCATTTCTCAAGCCTATCAAGGTCCCTCTGGATGGCATCTCTTCCCTCAAGTGAGTCCACGGCACTGCACAGCTTGGTGTTGTCAGCAAACTTGCTGAGGGTGCACTCGATGCCATTGTCCGTGTCTCTGACAAAGATGCTGAACAGCACTGGGCCCAGAACAGACCCCTGAGGAACTCCACTTATCCCAGGTCTCCACATGGACATCAAGCCGTTGACTACAACTATTTGATGAGTGCAACTTTCTAGCCACCGAGTTGTCCATCCATCAAGTCCATGTCTCTCCATCTTAGAGACAAGGATGTCATGTGGGACAGTGTCAAATGCCTTGGACGAGTCCAGGTAAATGACATTAGTTGCTTTTCTCATGTCAACCAGTGCTGTAGCTTTGTCATAGAAGGCCACTAAATTAGTCAGGCATGATTTGCCTTTAGTGAAGCCGTGTTGGCTGTCACTGATCACCTCGTTATTTTTCATGTGCCTTAGTACAGCAACCAGGAAGATCTGTTCCATGGTTTTATCTGGCACGGAGGTGGGGCTGACTAGTCTGTAGTTCCCTGGGTTTTCTTTTTTTTAAAAAAATGGCGGTTATATTTCCCCTTTTGCAATCTGTGGGAACCTCACCAGACTGCCGTGGCTTCTCAAATATGATGGCGAGTGGCCTAGCAACTTCAGCTGCCAGTTCTTTCAGGACCCGTGGATGTAACTCATCAGGTCCCATGGACTTGTGCACCTTCAGGTTCTCTAGGTGTTCCCAGACCTGATCTGCTTTTTTAAAAAAATGGCGGTTATATTTCCCCTTTTGCAATCTGTGGGAACCTCACCAGACTGCCGTGGCTTCTCAAATATGATGGCGAGTGGCCTAGCAACTTCAGCTGCCAGTTCTTTCAGGACCCGTGGATGTAACTCATCAGGTCCCATGGACTTGTGCACCTTCAGGTTCTCTAGGTGTTCCCAGACCTGATCTGCTCCTACCCTGGGTGGTTCTTCATTGTCCTAGCCAGCGCCCTCTGTGACTTGGGTGGTGTGGCTCAAGTGGTTACCAGTGAAGATTGAAGAAAAAAAGTCGTAGAGCACTTCAGCCTTCTCCGTGTCCTCAGTAACCAGGTCACCTGTATCCCTCCAGAGAGGCCACACATTCTCTCTCATTTTTGAAAGCAGTTTGGCTTGCCTTTTAGTATTTCCAGATTCATACTGAGGAATGAATACATAAGATTGTTTAAGTGATAGCTTATGTGGCCGCCTTACATTTTTTACCACAAAAACTGCAAGCTTCTCTTGGGCAGTACATCACCTTTTCTGCATCTACATGGTTGAACGAAAAGAGAAGTTGGATGCTTGCTAGCTAGATAAACAAAAACTCCTCCTGTCAATGTTTGAAGAACTTGATTTAGTCCAAGTGATTAATTCAGCAAAAATCAGAGGCGAAGACTTTTCTGTATAAAATCATTGGCAACATAGGTAGGTTATCTGTTTTAGAAACGCAATCTGTTTTAGCAATGCAGTCAAACAGAACTGTGGAAGTTGCTGTTACTTTCATCTGTGTCTGAGGTAACCATTGCAAGGATAGCCAGATAATGTTCTCAGAAGATTTATTTTTTTTTTTTTTTTAATACTTTGACCTTTGTGGTATCATAGAAAATGCTGTTTCCTATACTGGAACAGGAAACGTTAACTTGGAAACAAGATATTCAAGCTCTTCTAGAGTCCCTGTGGTTCGCTGTTCCTCAGTGTACAGTAGCGTCACAAATTCAAGTTCTCACAATACAGAAAGTACTGAAATTTTTAGGGTTGTCTCTGCATTCAAGTTACATCTAATTCCATATTTAAATAGGGTGCTATGTCTGATTATAATTGCTTTAGAAAGAGAATCTATGAAAAAGGAGGTTAGCATAGATTTTTTGTACAGGAACAAAATGATTCTCAGAATTTAATATCACTTCTTACAAAATGAAAATCTTTCAATAAATTATATGAGCTTAATGCCTACTACCTCATTATTGCCTATCCTGTTATCTACCTGAAGGTAGAGACACGGTGTGTACAGATGTGAAAACTGTTGTAAATAGACCTTAATAGACTGTCTGCTTTTGATTAATAAGATAAATAAATGGAAGGTTTCAGGTAGAGAATTTAATAATATTCCATTAAGATAAAGCAGATTCATCTGAAGAATTACTGTTCAAAATGGAGCTATTTTTCTGCCTTGCAGAAAGGCAGGGAAAAGCAAATGAGGTTACAGTATCCTGGTTTGTAGTCTTTCTGTCCTTTCTGTCAAGTGATATATTATGCCACCAAATAATTTTTTTGTTATTTTTTGTAATGATTTAGTTTTGTAGCAGTGCTCCAGCATGAAATAATCTGAATTTAAAACTAAGTTCTTACTGTTTTTTAAACTGAGGTCTTACACTGATACACAGTTTATACTGTTTATAAGCATTTTTCTAACAGAGTAGTCTTTCTGGCAGGCGAGGTTGAGTTTTGCGCTTGTTCTTCTAGTTGCAGTTTTGCTCAGTAGGGTAGGTAACAAGCAGGAGACGCATGTAGAACTGCTTTTTCAAAACTGGCTTTTTTTCTTTCCTGTCCTTGATTTGAAAATATGTTTTATGCCATCTGAAGAGACAATGTTGCCGTTTCTGTTGAGCTATAGAAGGATATTCTGTATGTATTACTGTCTTTTAATGGTAGCATTTCTGTGATGAAACAACAAAAAGTGCAAAATAAAAGTTTCTGGTTTAGTAGTATTCTCTCTGCCATTTCTACGTTTTGGTAATAGGTCAGCTGTTTTCAATATATGTCTAGGTATATGCTCTGACATATTTTGTGGTTGTTTAAAAATTGGCTGCAGGTTTGAAACTAAAATATTTGCTTATAACACTCACTGGTTTAGTATGTACTTTTTTTAATATCACGTGCATCTCGAAAGTCAAAATTGCATCAAATATTTATTTACGTTAATGCTCCATCTTTATTAACAAAAACTTTTGTTACCTTGTTTTTCAGCCTGAAAATAGAAAGTTAAAAAATTACAAGTTAAGGTGAATCATGTATATATATATCATCCTGACTGAATAAAAATGTAGGCCTTTTCTCCATCCATATAAAGACAGCAAACATTTTAAGCACTCCTTAGTTCTAAAAGTACAAATTACGTCAAGTTATTTGAAGTTTTCAGACTGTATTCACTTGTTAAGAAGCGTTTAGTACCAATGGATTCTTCGTAAGACCCACCATAACACAGATGAAGCTGACAAATATTCAGAAGATACTTCACTTTAAAAATCTGTATATGTTACTAATTCCAGCCAGATGTTTGGCTTAAGACTTGTTGAACTGAATTCTAACTCTGTATTGGCTTCAGAGTAATCCATGCAAGAATAATGTTAAATGGATTATTCTGTAGTAAAGATTTACAGCTAAGAGTGAACAGAAGAGTAAAAGATGGGGTTTTTTAATTGGTTTCACCATGAACCTGATGCACCAGGCAATGAGAATAAGCGCTATCTTCCAGCTTTCCCTGTAACATTGTCTGAAAGGGAAATAAGCCACTGTTTCTGGAAAGAGAAAAAGATGAAAAAGAAGTTCTCAGGTCAGGATTCTTCTATAGAAGCTAGCTGTAGCAAGTCTTGATACTCATCAGCAGAGTTCAAATAAACTACATAAGAAAAGATCAGAGAAATGCTTTTTGATATACTTGGGCCACAGAATTTTTCTGAAAGTCTGTTACCCAGAAGCTTTTATGCCAAGTTCTCCACAAAGCTGTACTCATCCCAAGTACCTTTTTCAAAAGTCTCCTAGCATGTGTGGCACAGGCTGCCGAATAAAGTAATTAGATAGCTACCTTCAGTCCAAAGGCTGTATTATTTTCCACTCTGTTATTTTTTTGCTTTTGAGAAACAACACCATTAAATTTTATGCAACTTTTTTCTCTGATTTATTGCACTTAAAGCTTAAGAAATTTTACTTAATTGGCACAGTGCAAGACTGAGGTGGTTTTTTGCAGCTGATGGTACATCACCCAAAGGTGTACCAAGAGAAGGTGTCCTCTGGTAAATGAAGAGGAGGACCAGAAGAGCTATAGGGATGTTACTGGAAGGCAGGGGTAATTAGAGTACTGCATGTTAGCACAAACATAGATACCATGTACTCAGTTTCCCTTCACAGCACTGTCGCAATATTTAGCACAATGGTCTAGGAAAGAGATGCAGCCACCATTAGTGTATTCCTGTGCCGGGAGCTTGGTAATTTGTCTAATATTGAGGTTTAATACAGTTGTTGAAACTTTTTTTTTCTTCTTATAACTTTATAGAGAACCGTGAAACAAAAGGGTTAGGGTTTGATCCTTGATCCAGTGCCAGGAAGCACAAGTGGATTGCCATGCTGCTTAGGGTTTGCTCCTTCCCTTCCCCAGCCTGTGAAACACGCCATTCCTACAGCATAATTTCTGTGTATTATTTTCAGTTAATGTCTTGAATACTAAAAGCACTGAATTTCAACATACACAGTAGAACTTTTGCAGCATGAAATGGAAGGTAAACGTGACACACACACGTAATGACAGGTAGAACCAAAACCAAAAAGAGTTTAATCACCAGAGCTTTTGAGCGTCATCTCTGAGATAGTTTGTCACCTGAACTGTCAGAAGAGGCATTTTTTTCATTTTTTTGGCTCAGTCCTGAAAAGAACAAGGGAGAAGTTACCAGGAGCTAAACAAAGTGGAGGATCAAGAGTCAACGTTCAAATTTGCTTCCTGTAATTCAGCGGTGTAAACTTTATTAAGGTAGTGGCAGTCCACTCTCTTTCTTCCTGTTTGCTTTGACAGCTGTGTCTTGAATATCTTGTTGTTTTATAAAATACATATTTAAACAGAGAGGAAGATAAAAAGCATAACAACAAAATGTGCCAAAAATCTTCAATTTTTGTAAGTTAACACTGGTAGTGGTAGTGTTTGGGGTTTCTTCCATTACTCTGTTTTAGGGGCTCATTTCTGTTTGACCTCTGTCTCTCCAGTCCAATTAACATCTGTTAACACCTGTTAACATTTGCCTCAACAAATCTAAGGTTTCTATGAATTTCTCTGGGAACATGTTTTTAGGATATAGTCTAAAGGGCAGTGACAAGCCTGTTTCTTTTAACTTTTCACAGAATATAAAGTATGTTTTGAAAGTACATTGATTTGAAAGTGCTGTATTAAACCTTTTGTTTTCTGTTACCTCTTAGGGTATCACCACTTCAAAAATCCGAAGTTGTAGAAATGGTTAAAAAACAAGTTAAGGTAGTAACTCTAGCAATTGGTGATGGAGCAAATGATGTTAGTATGATACAGACAGCACATGTTGGAGTTGGTATTAGTGGGAATGAAGGTCTACAGGCTGCTAATTCTTCAGACTATTCAATTGCTCAAGTAAGTCATTACACTATAAAATAGTTTAATATCAGATTAATATTGGTGTATGCATGTTCTGATTGTACATTTGTTCATTTTTCCTTTTTTGCAGTTCAAGTATTTGAAGAACTTGCTGTTGGTTCATGGAGCCTGGAATTATAACAGAGTAGCTAAATGCATCTTGTATTGCTTCTACAAGAATATAGTCCTTTATATTATTGAGGTAATTTTACAGTACAGTAAATGTTACTTCTTGAAAGTAAAAATTTTATTTTGAGCTTTTTTGTTCTTGTATGTGATTTGAAAGAAGTATTTACACTGTCAGTGAACACTTACTGGTACTGAACTTTGCTTTTTAATAAACTGATTAACGTTGGAATGATGTTTTTTTACTTTGAAAGACCCAATTGTCTTGAAAATACCTGCAAAATATCAGTACTGAATGTTATCTTGCATGATACTGCTAGCTTATTAAAATTCTGTATCTATAACATCATTACAGTATTTAAGGAATACAGTTAGTTACAAGTAGCCTTGGATTTACCAAGAGATGTAAGAGTTTAGCTCTTTGATCTGGTGTCACTAAGTGTCTGGTCAGCAATCTGAAGCCTTTTTTCAGGTCACTTGAACTGCAGGACTGTTGCTGCTCAGAACAATACTTAAGGTTTTTACGTATATGTTTAGTTACACTATTGCATACCTTTCACTTGTTGATGGGGAAAACAGGCCTCCTTAGGCCTGCTTGTGAACAGGGATACTTTTCTGAAAGTAGTTGACCTGGTTTTCTCACCTGAGATTTTAAAGACTAGAGTCTTGTGAAAAATACTGTAGTATCAGAGGACTGTGTTCTTATAAATATACATTTATTGGTAGGTGTGTTGAAGACAGCATATATAGCTATACTCTTCATGATGACATGGCAACCTTAAAATTTTTAACCTACTTTTAAAGGGATTGTTTTTATCCTCTCCTTCATTTATTGATCCTCTTTTTCTTTCAAGAGCTGCTTGCATTCTTACAACCAAATATGTATCTAGTAATTATATTTTAATGGATTCAAACATTATAGTCACAGAATACTTTGGGTAAAAATGTGGGGAAAAAAAATAATTTCTTGCAAAGCTTGATCATAGGTCAATTTTTTGTTTTATAGGTCAGTCTTCTGTATTTGTGTGTTAAAGGGGTTAACAGTTTTATTCTTAAAACTTTCTTAGGTTTTTAATATATTTTCAGATTAATATCTTAAATTTGCATATGTTTTTTACTGAAAGAAAATGCCTTATTTCTGTTAGACGTGATGTAAACATTAGGTTAACATTTCTGATTTTAATATTTATGTATGTGATCTTACACTGTTGCAGTATTTGAAAATACTTCTAAATATCTTTTTATGTACAGATGTAGCAAAAAAAGTGCATTTTTCTTAGCATATTTTTTGCATTTTCTAAATTTTCTTTTTTCTCTCTTGTATTATTAATGTAAATAGATTTCAATCTATGTAGCAGCAAGTTTGTAGCCTCTTTAGAGAAATATGCAATAGGAGGCCATAGAGAAAGCAAATCCATTGAAGATCCTTTTTTGCTTTAGAAGTAATAGCAGACTCTAGATCCTACATGTCAAAAGCTGAATATTTGATTAAATGATCAGACTTTGAAAAGTATTGATTAGCAGCAACTCTTGAAGTATTTGAAAAAAATGTCTTAATGTATACTTTGTGATTATAGAAAACATACAAAGTTGGACTTCAGAACATACTACCTTATTTTTCCTAGTTTGGTGTTGTTTTCATCTGCAAATGTGTTGTAAATTTAAAAATTAAATCAGATATTAATATCTCACTGTTTGTATTTGTTGTGAAAGAAAGTTAAATGCAAGGTACAGAGACTAGTCTGAAAACACAAAAGTCTAGAGGAGGTAGTCTCTGCCCCCTGAGCAGACTGAAGGGCAAAAAGATCATTTTTATATGGGTTATGACCCTTTATATTTAATGCATGCAAGCATTTTGCTATACACACCTTCTCTGGAAGAAGACAAGATGCGTTCTACTTGAAATCCTGTATACCCAACGTTTGTTAGCTCAGGAAACTTTCAGAGATGTTAATAGCTCATGTCAATACTGTGAGTGAATGGGCAAAAATTCATCATTGAATGTCTCTAGAAAGGACAACTGCCAGTCTTGAATCTCTCTTTTCAGTTTTTTGTACGGATCAGGCGTGGGAGCAGAGAGCTCAATGAGTATTTGTAAGCTGCTGCTTAATATGCAGAAATGCTACATCAGGAAAATGTCTGTGAAGCTTTTGTGGCCACGCCTCCGCTGTCTTGGAGTTTAGAAAGTAGAACTATGAAAGGCATGTCTGGAAGTTACTTTAAATAAGTTTCCTTTTACTACCTGACAATAACTAAAAATACTTACCTTTACTTAATGGCGCATATTTTTAAAGGTTTGCTCAGTACTAATTTAGCAAGTAATGTGATAGATTCCATTTAAACTAAAATACAGCCTGTTTCCTAGACATTCGTGGAGTGACACAAAGTAAGTGCCACTAGTTTCTTGTTCAGAAAATGGTAAAGATCTATACTAATAATCCTGCACAATGATTATTGTTTATTGACATTTAAACTCCTATTCGTAAGAAACTAGAAATGGTCTGTAATAACTTTTTCTACTCTGTGTCTTGATGCAGTAGATATTTAAACACAGTCCTCATCTTTTGTATTGGACTAGTCCCAGTAACTTTAGGGGTTTTTACTCTGAAGTATCTTTCTAAATTGCAAGTGAAAACTTTGAATTTTTAACAGCCTGCTAATGTACATTACTAAGGCTGTACCAAGCCTCACACTCACATAGGATAAGCTTGTGCAGAGGGTCATACTTAATTTGAGGGGCCTGTCATTACCTTATAATGATGGCTGGGATTAAGATTGATCTAGTGATTAAGAACTCCTTTGTGGATTGGTTTTGGTTTTATAATTACCATTACTACTTACACTCCTTTGTTAAACTATGGTATGCAAATCTCCCTTCAACGTTGGAGGGACAAAATTTTTCTATTCCTCCTTTTTATTCTACTAGCTACTAATAACTAGTAATAACATATAAAATGACTGCTTTATGTTAAATATGAAAGGCTTACAATTTAAAAAAAATAGTAAAAAGACTGGGACACAAACAGAAGAAACAAATGCATGGAGTTCAGTCACAGAGCCTTAAGCATGATACTATGTGAATGATTCAGTTATACGAAGTAATTAGGTCTGTAATGGCCTCTTTTTCATTCCATATACTTTGGGTGACGGTTAGCTTTTAATTTATTTATTTATTTATTTTCCCCCAAGCCCATTTCATCCCACTGCTGAGTTACACACTTTCTGCTCCTCACGTCCGTAACTGAACTTTACTATATTTTTTCCCGATTTCCTTTGCCTGACATGTCAGATAGTTGCCTGTGATCACACTGGGACCCATATCATTCGTAACCCCAAACAGGAGCTCGGTTTCTGTGTATACTTTGCTTCTGAGCTGTAGAGTTTAGGTGCTGTTGTTCAGTGGCATGGCCCACTTCATACATGCAAGCTGCACAGGCTACAGTTTAGAACATGGACAACAGAATGTGATTGTGCTCATGCCCACTTTTTTGCATTATGTGTTTTGAAAACTTAAAAATACAGGGATCTGCATTGAGGCCTATCTCATTTTCTTTTCAATGGAAATTATGTAGCAACTGAACTACAAAATGGTCTGAATTTTCACTCCTTCCTCACTTACATAGTCTAAATTACTTCTCAAGGACAACTCTCTCCTGTCCTTCTGTAAAGGGGTACTGGATTAGTAATTTGAGCTGTTAGAGTAAGACCTATCCCCTGGAAGTGGCTGAATCTGCTTCCAAATTGCTGTTGTATGCACCATGAAAAACTTACTTTGCAGGTACACCTGCCTTCATTGTCTCTCATAAGCAGAATGAAACACATTTGTCCATGAATAAATTCCCACCATGAAACAAGAAACTATGTTGTCATTGTTCCCATTAATACTCTAGTAAAATTTAGTCCAATATTTGATACAAACAAGAAGAAAAAAATAAGGGGCCAATCGCACCAAAATATCTCTCCTTCAGTGCTCTGTCAAGAGCTGTCTTCCTAACCATCTTGTCAGGTGTAAGAACATGTATAATGCAAAGGTTGAAAAGAGAGAAGGCAGCTGAGGAGCACCTATGTCCAACGGCGGTGATGAATTACATCTGAATTACATCTACGTGTTTAGCTTAGTTGTAAAGGATCCAAAAATTGTGCTGATGCTGAGTGCATAATTAATTTTTCAGTAATGAACGACTGATATGCAGTCATCTCACTCCCTCATATTCAACTGAGAAGCTGCTGCTACTAAATGTCCCCTAAATTTCTCACAGTTAAATCATTAATTCCTATTTCGAAAGTAAAAAATACACAGGAGCTTGTAAAATACTAAATAAACCCAAAGTAATTCCATTGCCTTATCAGTGAATAGACTGGAAGGTTCGAAAATAGATTACTTGTTACTGTTAAAGTAAAGAAATATAGCCTTATAGGACTTCAGAAAATTCAGTGTATTTTATATCTCTGTATTACAGTCTCTAACATCCATAATTTTGTATGCAATCTTGTTCCGGTAACTGACCACAAAAAATGTATATTTTCATTTACTGGTTGAACAAATAGCAATTTTATCTGGTTTTTAACTCCCATTTTTGGTTTTAATAGTTGCTAATTTCAGGTTTGTTTCCAGATGAAAGTATTCACAAATATGTCAAAACATTCCACAGCCTAATAAAGTACTATGAGCTTGTTCATAGAATCTGGTCACCTGGAGGCCAGCCTGGGTGAATGTTGATAAACATGCATATTGACTATAGTAATTCATGCTTCTGTAATGAAGTCAAATGAAATGCAGACTATAGCGAAGTCTCTGCAAAGCAGTTTTCTGAACATTCACTTGAAAAACTTAGATGATCCCAGTTTCTGTCACTTTACAGCTGATGTTTGCCATAGGGAATATGGCTTCAGTGGTAGCTTGTTAATAAAGATTCATCAGAAATGCTTCTTCTCCACTTTGTCATTGAACTAATATAAGCATGAAGTAAGAAATAAAGAAAGCAGTCATGTTACATGCTATGCTAAGCAACATAAGAAAATGTGTCATCATGCCTTCCAAACTAAATGTGAGTTTTTCAACCTTTTAGCGAAAAGTGATAAAACTTACGGAAGGCAAGAGACTTCCAACTGTGCCTCTGAAGTACTCTGCGGTTGAGTTAGTGCTTGTTACCTAAGTAATTGGAGTTGATTTAGTATTCTAGTAAAATCTCATCCTCTCGTGAGTCTCATGTATGAGGAACAAATATTAGTACAATTTTCAGTTCCAAATTTCAGCTTACTTTATAAATTCTCTTAGTTAGGAGGTTTACTAATGATGAGAAGGTGACTGCTTCTGATTGGTTTCCTGTGATATTTTTTCCCCGATACTTCTCAGAATTTTTATTTCATTAAGTACAATACAAACGTAGTGAGCAAAATCATTCCTAAATACTTAACAAACATGAAATTTCTCTTGAAAATAGCTAACTCCTTGAAATGTTTTCATTTTTAGATGTAATTGCTCGTGTATTTGACTAGATTTCCCATTACCTGTTCTGATCACAAGTTCTTTTTGTTATTATTTTTTTTTATGTATGTTTAAGCCATAACATCCTCAAATGTGTTCTAGGAATACTCCTTTTGTAAAGCTGAGAAAAACCATTTTACATTTGACTAATGCACTGTTCTTCTCTTTTTCAGATCTGGTTTGCTTTTGTCAATGGCTTTTCTGGACAAATTCTTTTTGAAAGATGGTGTATAGGTCTCTACAATGTGGTAAGATGATTTGGGTGTTTTCAGTTGTTTTCAGTTATAATCATAGAAGTTTCTTGAGTAAACCATCTTTGTCTCACCTCCAAAATTTTGCAATGTGATTTTTGTTGTTTGTTTTTTAATCTACTAGATGTTTACAGCAATGCCTCCACTAACTCTTGGAATATTTGAGAGATCCTGTCGAAAAGAAAACATGCTGAAATATCCAGAATTATACAAGACTTCCCAGAATGCACTGGACTTTAATACTAAGGTAGATTTTTTTTTTTAAATAATGTAATTAAAGCAAAAACTAAGAAGAAGTCAGTGTAGTTACCTTTTTTGTTCCGTGCTTCTCATAATTAAAAATGGAATGGATTTTTATTACTACTATTTCCAGTTGTCTCTTCCATGTGAATGGTTCAAATCATATTTATCCATTTTTAGCAAGTATGGAGATGGACAGAAAACACTTTATTTTTTTCAGCGCTGTTTTTTTTTTCTCTGCTGGTAATAAAGCTGTCTTCTACAGGCAGAACTGATTAGACCTCTCTGTTGCTGGGCTGTATGTATTTGGACTGTTATATGGAAATGGATTACTGAAGCCTGTGGAGAAGTGGTGCAGAGGACAATAAGACCTGTCATTAGATTTGTAGAGGGAGGGACTTCGTTCTATTCCTTGTCAATTTGGAATTGTGATTTTATGGTTTAATTTTGAGTTTGGGGAAAAAGTACTTGGAGATGGTTAAGAATGTGTCAGGGTGGACTGAGAGGAATCTGAGGCTACTTTTGGTGCAAAATGGGTGACGTTCATCTTGGAGAGACTAGCACAAGAAGTAGGCAGAAAAGTAAGACCCTTTAATGTGTAAAATATACACAGTTTCTACAGTTTGTCCATAAATAATCTCTTAAAAAAACTAACCAAGACTTCTTCTGAATCTGCAGTGTCTTGAATCCCATCATGATTGTAAGCATTCCTTCTGATTTTATGTGATTTTTCTAAATTTTAGAACATTTCAAGTACTGTCATTGTACGTTGAACTTTGGGATCTTTTCAATTTGTCATCGTATTGCCTACATAAGATGGTCTGGAGTAGATGTGTGGAGCTGATACAGCATTCTTGGCTCGCTTATCTGTGCCATTTATGCTGTAAAAGTGGAGTATCTCTATCTATGTAGAATTATTTATCTAGACTTTCTTTGTTCACTGAAGCATATGAAGTTTTTCTCCGTCACTTCATCCCTTCACTCACAAAAACAAACCTGAAAATTGTAAGGAAAACAGTTTCTTGTGTCACTGAATGCTTTACAAATACCAGACTTCTTATGGTCCATTAATGCAGACACTTTAGGGTTGTAATAGTTTTGGTGTAAGTCATGAGTTAAAATTGTTGGATTTTTGTGTTTTTTAATAAGTCTGTACTATTTTTATTATTGCACACATGTATTGTTGACTTCATTGGAAACTTCCATACAACACTGGCTATGAGTAAATGTGTACAAACTTCCCAGCTAGAAATTCCCACCTATACAAGTTGAATAGTTGGTGTTAAAGATTTGGGAACATTACTGCCTTGAATGTTGATGCAGATGTTTGTTATGGTAAAAGGGATCAAAGGTTATGAGGTCATGACAGAGGTTAAAGGATTAGTGTGTGACAATAAGAATTGGTCAGGAAAATGGAAAAGTAGAACTAATTTTTCTTGCACCCACCTGTGCTTTCTGTCAAATAAAAACTTCTGGTAATGACATAGCAAGAAGGAGAGACAAAGGTTAATGAGTAGCACAAGTTCAAATGTGCAAAGTATTGGAGTGTAAATTGGATCATATGACCTAGTGTAGTTGTATAATCTAACAAAAGACTTTGAGACATTGTGGAAAATGTTGTGAGGCAGGCAACTTCATTTCAGTTGTTTGAACACCTCAATGCTCAAAGTACACATCAGTTAGTTGCAACACAGGCTATGATTGTCAAAAGCATTCTTAATGAAAAGACATGATTGCTATCCTGAGGGGAATAGGTTACCTACTTTTGATTAAGTCTTTTTATGTCTTTATACAACACATTATGGAAGGCATCAGTAGGTTGTTTATTCTTAATACAGTTGTCTTCAGAAAGCATCTTTTACAAATGAAAATAAATTTGAAAGTAAGATTTGAATTATTCAGAAAATGCATTAAAGGGAGTTGAATGTGATGAAGCTTTGCACTTCAAGAATGGAGCATGTAAGGAGAAATCTAAGGAAGATACTCTTTTTTTTTTGTCCTTTTTAATTCCTTTGTATGTGGAAATAGTAGGAAATACGTAAAACTCATGTTTTGATTGTTCTGCTATCCACGTTTCTTATTCCACGAAATGTAAATTGTAAAAGCTAGAGTCCTTTTTTATTTCCTACTTAGGATGTAGCAATGTTTCCAGTTGTCTAATTTAGTTTAATTTTTCTGATGATATTCCCATATGTATACGTTTTAATTTCCCATCTGATTTGAAATTAAAAGAAGATAATACACGCTTTTTTCCCAAAACATAAAAATAAACAAATGACCCATGAAGAGCTAAGAGGCAGAAAGTGCCTGTCAGTTATATTACTTCACAGTGGTGGCCTGACAGAAACACATTTTGTGAATCTAACACACAGATAAAAAGAAAGGTCAGGGTTCACAGAGCTAGTTTTATTGCAAATGGTTCTCATGGATTTTCTGTTTTCCCTTAGGTTTTCTGGGTTCATTGTTTAAATGGCCTCTTCCACTCATTCATTCTGTTTTGGTTTCCACTAAAAGCCCTCCAGCATGGTAAGTATTACGAAAAAAATGTTGAAAGGTACAGAACACATAAATACCTTCCTTTTTCCTTAGGAAACTTTATAAAGTCTAACAGTTTTGTGTGATTAAATTTCAAGATAATATTTCTAGACCTAGAGCAGTTGCTATATATTTAAAATCTATTTAAAATCTGTTTAAAAGTAGAAATAATATTATGTATATATGCATAAAACTGCATAAATAGGTTTTAAGTAAACCGAAACAGATGGAGGAAAATACTATTGCTATTTAATTATGCTATTTTTATATCTAATAACACTACCACAGTAGCTAGATACAAGATCCTAATTCACTGCTGTCCCTTGCGTTGTCTCCTACATTTTGTAAGATTTTATGGCTGATGTGTCTACCTTCTTTCCTGTTATTTCAGAGGCCTACTAACCCATTAGTTTACATCTATATGAGTGGGCTTGTGGCAGAGGAAACTGGGACATCTTGAACAGCTCAGTCCTGTCACTCTTCTAGTTCAACTGGAGTTGCCGGAAGGAAGTGGGACGGTTGGGAGAAAAGCTGTATTAGAGGAAACTTGAAAGCACTGCTTCCAGTTTCTGGGAATGTTTGTGGTAGGGAGGAGCTATCGTAGGGCTGGGGTTTTGTTTTGCTTCCACTTCGCAGGGAGCGGAAAAAAAAGTGTGTACCCTACAGCTTTTCTGCAAACTCAGTAGTCTTCTCAGTTTCCCTGATAAAGCCAGGTGGTCTGCCCTCGCTTAAGGTGTGGAAATATTCTCATGGACATTTTGGAACTGTTGAGACTAGATAGCGAGATGATCACAGTTGCTCGTGCCCAAAAAGTCTAATGACAAAACTTACTGCAGAGTATTTTATACTCAGTGGCTTCTGATGGGTAAAGGGAAGGAGGTAGCAGCCTGTTTCCTTTGAAAAGCCACTAAATGTGGCAGCAGTTTGCATTGGAGGGGTTTAGATAGCCCAGGAGGAAAGAGGGTCCCAAATTCTCAATGAATGCATACTTTTTCTTCAAATCCAAACCAAAATCGCCATTCAAAGCTGTAGCCAGTCTGTGTGAGAGATTTGTGCATTACTTGATTGAGGAATGTTTATTGACTCTATGTGGTGATACAGAATAAAGTTCACATGTGAAAGGAGAGCAGAGATACTCTCCTGAGCACTTGTGAGCGCACTATAACACAGGCCTCTGCAGCTTGCAGCCCCTGCACTAGAAATGACATGCTGGCAAGTGGCCTCCTTAAGTCTGAAAAAATTGCCTTCTGCCTTTGTCTTTTGTTCCTAGAGAAAAGCCAGGTGAGCAAGGAGAGCAGAAATGGGACCCAGGGATTGTGTATGTGGTGTGGGGTATAACCGGTATCTACCATGGGTTCTACTGGGGCACAGAGTTCTGCGTGAAGGGGAAATGAGTGCAGGATGGGAGCTGCTGCTAATTAAATCTCTGATGGCTTTGTGTGTGAAAAGGAAAGGGAAACAATGCTATTGGTTTCCTAGGGGGGAACTGATGGGTACTAGAGATCCACCAGAGAGAGGAACATCTGAGAACAAGTCTCAGCCTCTACTTTCTTTTAGCAAAGAAGAGCTGCAGAAGGATCCTGAGACATGAAAGGAATAGGAAAAATGGGGCACAGCTTAGCTCTGTTTGTAAGAGTTCCAGCACTCTGACGGATGGGACCAAACATAACTGCCTGTCTATTCCTCTGTTTCATCCTCATTATGCTCTTTACTGCTAGGTATACATTGATGAGCGGTGGAGTGCACATTTGTGCAGGTATTTAGTAGAGTGTTGAAAATAAAGTTTTGAAAGTCATGAAAACATCTCAGAGCTCACAGTCATCCCACTCTTTAGTCTCACTTGTCTACTGCTTTCTTGTCTGTAAGTGGCAAATTTCAAATTGCATGTGTTGTAGTAGAGTCTACCAATAAAATACACGATCAGAGAATATGTATGGATTTGTAAAAATTGTTTGTCAGAATTTGCTCCATGGGACCTAACCATTGTACAGTGCACAAAACTAGTCTTTGTACTCCGTCTACTGTCATGTGGATATTAAAATTGAAAGGGACATAAATCTTCACAGAAGCTTCTTCTGATGCAACTTTGTCTTCATAACAGTAAATGACAGAAGACAAACTTACACGTACAAGTAAACCTACCAACGGCTCCCTCTTTTGTATAACCTTTTAAAAGACCCGTGGTCTCAGCTTTATTTTCAGGCTTCCAGAGCTCTTGTAGTCCTTCGTGGTGTGCTACTCTGCCGGGGGAGAAAGTTAAACAGGGAAAGTGCCAGGAACACAACCACTAGAGTTTTGACAGGCTTGAGAGGTGGACCTGTGCAAGCCTCATATAGTTCAACAAGGCCAAGTAAAAGGTCCTGCAGCTGGGTCGGGGCAATCCCAAGCACAAATACAGGCTGGGCAAGGAGCAGATTGAGAGCAGGGCTGCAGAGAAGGACGTGGAGGTGTTGGTTGACGAGAAGCTCAAAATTACATGCCGGTGTGTGTTTACACCCCAAAAGCCAATTACATCCTGGGTTGCATTAAAAGAAGTGTGACTGGGAGGTCAAGGGAGGTGATTCTCCCTTCTCTACTTCTTTCTGGTGGGACTCCATCTGCAGTGCTGTGTTCAGCTCTGGGGCCTCCAACATAAGAAGGACATGGACCTGTTGGAGCGAGTCCATAGGAGGGCCGTGATGATGATCAGAGGGCTGGAGCGCCTCCCCTACAAATTGAAGCTGAGAGTGCTGTGGTTTTTCAGCCTGGAGAAGAGAAGGCTCTGGAGAGACCTTATAGCAGCCTTCCAGGACATGAAGGAGGCCTAGAAGAAAGCTGGGCAGGAACTTTTTACAAGGGCATTTAGTGATAGGACAAGGGATAATGGTTTCAAACTGAAAGAGGATGAATTTAGATTAGATATAAGGAAAACATTCTTCGATGTGAGGGTGGTGAGACACTGGAACAGGTTGCTCAGAGAAGCTGTGGAAGCCCCCTCCCTGGAAGTATTCAAGGCCAGGTTGGATGGGGCTTTGAGCAACCTGGTCAAGTGAAAGGTGTCCCTGCCCATGGAAGGAGTGTTGGAATTAGGTGATCTTTAAGGTCCCCTCCAGACAAACCATTCTGTGATTTAATATACTGTATGCTGGCTGAGGATTGTGGGAAAATAGATCCATTTTTATCAGCTTGTCACCATTATCTGGCCCGGCAATCAGAGGAGTTTTGGTATACAATGTTACAGAAAGCTCCTATTTCTAACATAATTCCTGAAGTCACTGAAAATTTTCAAGACTAAAAATTGTAAGTCATAGATCTTTACTGTTCAATACAGTTCAAGGTGAAATCTGCTGTCATTACCCTGTAGGGAGTACTACCATCTCTTTTGTACCAAAAATATCTATATGTTTAATATCTACATGTAGATAAAAATGTAGGTAACAGATACTGCTATTGTGGATATGTGAATATTTAAATGTATTTTTTTATCACAATTTCCTTTTCCAGGTACCGTATTTGGCAATGGTAAAACTTCAGATTACCTGCTCCTGGGGAATACCGTATACACTGTAAGTCTTCCTGTAGCTATCTGGTACCCTATCAGCTATCTGTATTTGCTCTGTCTTTAACTCTTACAGATGTGGGTTTATTCTTATTTGTAATCCTCTACATAGAAGACTTGATAGATTGTAGGGCCTTAAGAATAAGAAATGGTTCTTGAATGATTCTTTGAGAAGCTTTGAAGTGCATTTTGCATTCTCATACCATTTTTTGTCAAACACAGCAGTTTATTAAAGATGCAGAAGATATATCTGTCCTTTACTGGAAACTGTTTTTTAAATAATGGGAATTGTAATTCCCTAATTAGCATGCTCACTAGTTTAGGGAAATATTCTGCATTGGAGAAATCCCAGGTTATTGGATATGAAGCTGTGGTTTGTGGACTTGTGAAGATTGAATTCTGTTCTCTCTCTTAATTTATCATGGGACCTTGAAAGAGGGATAGAGCCGCATGGAACCAAGGTTTATAAAGTTAACTAAACTGCCAGAATTACACCTGAGCCACACCCAAAAGTAATCCTCTCTTACTCTCACAGATAGTTGTCATTATTTTCTTTATTTTAATCTTTTATCTTCTAGAATGAATTAATGAAGCTAAATATCTGGTTTGCACTTGCTACCTATCAATGTTACCCAGTAGATGAGGGATTTCCAAGATCTTTCATAGGAGCAAAATTAGACTTGTGCTTCCTTGCCTCTGTTCTCTTAAACTTAAGAGTTGTCGCCAGATACAAAAAAAGAAATTAATTCTTCCATCAAAATAAGGAGATTGAAACACAAAATACAAATTCACGTCAAAATCAATTTCCTTAGGAAACAGGAAAACATAACTGAAATAAGAGGAAGTTATTACAGAATACATTGTAGTCTTTTGAGAATGTTGCTACTGTCAACACCTCCTGTGTATGAGAGAACATTTTGAAGTGTTTTCTGGCCAGCTAATGAGAAAGGTTGAAGAGCAAAAATTGTTGAGTGACCGCAGCCCATTCTGTGTATTTCCAGCTGCTGTGGCAGTTAATAAAATGTTTCTCTGCCAGTCAGTACATGGGCTTTAAACCGGTTCTTTCAGGCACATTGAGTAATCGTTTGTTCACACATTCTCTTAAAAGTTTATTTGCTCTACAATTCCCTTTCCCTGTTCCAAAAGGCAAGTGCAGCATGTTTTGTCAGCAGTAGTTGCATATGATCCTGCAATCTATCATATGATGAACTGATTTCCGTTAGGGATGGATGGAATATCCTGGGTAAGTGTTTTCTGTACAGGTCTTAATAAAATTAAGATGTAAGGTCACAGTAATTGTCATAGCTCAGTCCTGACAGAAGCAGTTCATCTGACACAGGTCTATTTGCATTACCATTTTGTAACACCAAAAACAGCGTTTAGAAGTCTGTCATTTATCTGAATGTCACTGCTTTTGCCAGTATTGATAAATACTTCATATCTGCCAGAACCACATGTTGTTCTCAGTGAAGCAGATTCTTCTTGGGGAGAGGTTCTCTGCACCAGATTTTTACCCTATCTACAAATGTTTCTTTGTTTACTGTACGTAGAAGTTGCAGCCTTGCTCAGTTCAGCAGAAGTTTATTTTATGAATTGTATCTATGTATACAGGTTGCTTTGGTTGGCTCATTTACGAACCTGAAAGTTCCACCAAACTAATAAATTCTGTATGTTAAGTAAGATTCCTGTAGTAAATAAGAATTCTCTCTCTCTCTTTTAAGTTTGTGGTTCTAACTGTGTGTTTGAAGGCTGGATTAGAGACGTCATACTGGACTTTGGTAAGGAAATGTCTTTATCCTGTTCTCAAATGTTCTATAAAATATGATGAATAAATAATTGTATTATTTTCTTCTAATTTATTATATTATGCCCTTACAGTTTGTCAGCCTTCCCCACAGTATCAAACTGCTGTTAATGCATGAAAAGACAGAATATCCACATACAAAAAATAATGTTTAATATTGAAAAGAAGGACGTTGAGATAAAGCTTAAAGTAATCTTAAACTAGAAAAATCAGATTACTCTGTAACTCTTAACTTGGCTTAAAATGCAGTAATATTGCTCCTGAAAGTATCATTTTGCTTTAAGAAGTAGCTAACTGAAGTAGCAGAGTTAAATTAATACAAGGCATGTGAATTTCATCCAGTGTATCATTGTAAATACCAAGTAGGAAGGTCTTTTTTTAGGTCCTAATGCATCTGTGATAATTGTTTTGTTTTCTGTTTTTTGTTTGTTTTAACAGTTCAGCCATATAGCTATCTGGGGCAGCATAGCACTTTGGGTAGTGTTTTTTGGAATCTACTCTTCTTTGTGGCCAGTCATTCCTATGGCACCTGATATGTCAGGAGAGGTAAAAGTATATTTTAACTAATATCCAAATGTGCGAAAAAAATATCGTTTCAGTCTTTTTAGTAAAGACTTACTCTTTTTTGGATCCTTCTGCTAATGAGAGGTGCTTAAGAGGGTTGTTTCTTTCATACTTTTAATACAGTAACTATGTTTATTTAAAATAGAATCAAGTTTTACTCTTGTGAAAATGGAGTTCAACTAACAGGCTGTGATTATATGGTCTAGTGAGGAAGAATAGGCAGGTAGTCTGCTTCGCATTTCTTCAGTAAGTTGGAATCTTCTAAAGAAAAGTCTTAACAAATTCAGAACTCAGTGTTTATTTGGCTGGAGGGTTTTCTGATAATGAGGTAGCACAAGTAGTACATTGGCTAAGGCTCTTTTTTCATCTTCAGTTTTACAAATTTGCAAAGTATTTGAAATGACAAAAAATTTTGAGGTACCATAATTTGTGAAATAATTGAAGTGGTAAAATGCTTCAAAAAATTGAGGTGCCATAACATTGCATGAGCAGCTGTTTGTCATGCACACATTTCCTTTTCTATTAATGTGCTGCTTGGAATGCGTTATTGTACTGTATCTTTAACCTTTTGACAGTAATTACTGGTTTCTCTTTCATTTATTATCCCATTTATGTAAACCTGCCCTGAATATTGCAAATAGGACTAAATCTATGAAAGATACTTAACTGCTGCCTGTGCTGATCTAATTGCGACTTCAGTCTCAAATTCTCAAAAACATTCAGCTCCAGAAATATCTGAGGTTTAGTGTTAATTTCCCAGACACTAATGTCTGCTTCTGGGCACAGTCAGTACCTCCTGAGTCAAAAAGTTTGATGTTAATTCTTGATGGGAATCAGAAATTTAGAATACCTGCTTGTTTCAGAAAGATACTCTTCTAATGGTTCTTAGAGCATATCAGCTAAATCAAGCCTTTTACACTAGTAAAAGATTGAGTGCCTTTCACTCCACCACTGTGATATAATTCAGCAATTTAACAATCTGTGCAGGATTTGGGAAATTTAGATGCATGTCTCCCCCTCACTTGGAGGTATTTCAGATCCACAAATCTTGCCTCCTACATAAGTAGTTATGAGAAAAATAGTATATAGGGATTTAATATAACTACTACATTTTAATGGAAAGCACAAGGAATTAAGTACTTAGATATCTAAGAAAAATACAGATTTTAAGTTACACAATTTCTTGCTTTTTTCTCTTCTCTGTTACAACTTTTTACCCATGTGTATATGCAGATTTTATACATTAAGATGTCTCTGCTAGTCAGTTATGTACATTATTCTAAATTAAAGTAATTGAAGCTATCATACTTAAGCATTTTTCTTCATGTATAGTGTATTTTATAGATGAAATAGAATGTTTGGGGAATTGGTCTCAGAGATATGTTTAAAACCCATGCATTGTTCTTTAGGACAGAAGAACTTTTACACTGATAAGCATAGTGGGAGCAGCAAGGCATGTTATACTTTGACATAAAGACTGAAATCATGATTGAAATCACTAAGTATTTTACCTAGTAAAAGTTCAGTCTCTGAAGTTACTGTGAGAAAAAGATGGTTTTGAAGGGAATATGATTCCAATGAATTTGGAAAAAACAATTCTTCTTAGAGAGATATGTCAATGAAAATAAATACTCCTGGGGCTTGAAGTCAACGTGACACCAAAGTAGTCTGACTTAAAATCCTAGATTCATTTATTTCTTTTGATAAAACCATATCTGTAGTTGCAACAGTCTTATTTTATTAGTGTGTTTGCTTATGCATATATGTATATGTAGGAGCTTTCAATGTGTGTATGTGCATGCAGTGTTTTGAGGGGGGTGTTGTTAGGTGAGGTTTGGGGTTTTGTTTTGTTTCTAGGACTATGGTTAGAAGTATGTACCACCGAAATAAAGTCTCCTAAACACCTCATAGACCTCAAGAGCTTATTTTAAAAGCTCTGGGTTAGCTTTTTGAGTTTTGTGGCTATAAGTCCTGTGGACAAATTCTGCAACTCAGACTGGAAGCAGGATTTTTGAATGCTCTCCTGGAAGTCCCCTCTCTGACCAAGTGATCTCTGGCAAGGCAGAATTCATTAGGTTTCCTGAATCAAATCCAGGTGTTCCATAAGTATTTGAACTAAAAGATTCACAAATTTAACTGTGTAGAAGGTTGTGATGTGATAGAAACAAAGACATATGGACATCTCTGCTTGCCTGTGCAAGTACTGCTCATCTAATTTCTTCAAATGTGTGAGTCAGACTTGAAGACTTCATCCAGGTACATTTGGCAGAAATTAAATGAACAAGTCAAAAGCTGACCTCTACTTCTGTAGCTTTTTCTCTGTTTTTGCCTTGGCCTGATCTGATAAATTATGCTGAAGGAGATGGTGGACCTGGCATTGCTAGGTTAACAGCTGATGATCTGAGTGGTCCCTTCCAATCGAAACAATTCTATGACTCTGTGATTAAAACTGTAGATTTATAAGAAGATTTTACCAACTATAATACTTATGAAGTATTCTCTTTCAGCTCCCTATAGCTGGTAACAAGAATTTTACCCTAGGTTTATAGTTTTGCCAGTCAGTATTCTTGATACAGTATTCATTCAACCATTCAGTTGCAACTAGATGATGATATCTGTCTTCCATGAACTTCTTTTTCATGGCTTCTTTTAGATAGAAAGGAACCTGCTGAAACACTCTAATAAGGATTCAGTCTAACTTCGTATTAATGTCATGAAGATAATTAGATTCCTGC